AACTCTCCTCAATGGCCCATTGTATATATTAGTGTTCTGAAAGACGGTAAATGACGAGAACTAGACATGACGCTCAGACATGTGAAGATTATGTAAAAAAAGACGATCAATCCAATTTTGACAACTTAATACCTACCTAAGTACAAAAATGAAGCGAATATTAAGAGCCTAGACATCAAAATGTGCGAGTCTCTTTTATTTTTTAAGATTAAATAAACTAATTAAATAAAAATAATATTTATTAATGATCTTGAAATTATTAAAAATAATTATCAATGGTCCTAGAATGGTAAAAATAATATTAAAAATAAAGAAAAACATATTACGTGTAAGTATACTCGAGTTCGTAAGATTGAAGACTCGATCACACCAATGTCTTTTAGAATCTTGATAATTACTACATTCAGGGTCCTTAATGATCACGAAATTCGTAATTATATTAATTAAACTTTTTATAATCATATCAATTATGGATTAAAATGTTATGTACTTGATACTTTAATCTAACGCTATCATTTTGGTCTCTATAATGGAAAAATCGAACCAATTAATGGTACTGCAATTTGGCAGACTGAGATTTGATGATTATTATAGAACAATATTTCAATACCATTGATTTGAGACCAATTAAGGAGACAATTATTCAATCTAGAATAAATGGTTTGATTATATATGGAACCCAGCTTTTTTTGTTAATCACTTGATTAACTTCTATTCATCATAACCAATTATGATTATCTTTGTTTTTTCTTCCCAACTTTTCTTTTTCCTGATATTCTATTAGCTGTGTATGATCGTACTATACGAATTTCTCTTCAATAATTTTTCCATGTACAACCCACATCATGCTGGCACATCATTTTGACATAAAATTATGAAACATTCTCACCGTTTTTAAAAGTCGACTTTTAGTGAATTTTAAAATAGAGCCAAGCTCCTACAAACATTCTCGAATTTTTTTTTTTTTGACATGGATTATCGTTAAATTATCTCATCAAAAATCTCGAGAAGTTAGAAAAGCGAGAAAATCAGTTCTTTAAATAATTTTGTCTTCCATACGGTCATGATGTGGAAGGCAAATTTATTTCTTAAATCAAGTGTCACGTTCATTTACAAATTCTACGTTTGTTTGTTATGATACCATATTGAACTACTTCTTTAGAAAGCTTACTATTAAGGATGGAATAATGTTATTTGTATCTCATTGTTTACAGATTGATGTAAAAAGAATGATGACGTGAGAGAGAGAGAGAGAGAGAGAGAGAGAATGAATTAAAAGAAGTCATTTAAAAATCAATTTATATAATTCCCATCATCATTTTTTAAATGAATTT